ATTACTTTGAAAGCTCCTTTACCTTCGACACGATGCTTTTCATTAATTTTCACAATAACATTCAAACACAATATGCAAATTTCCGACATGTCATCTACATACTATTCTTTCATGCGCACATGTTGCATAATTATGAAATCACAATCTAAATAATTTTCCGCTAGCTCATCCGATGCATAATTTGCATATATTATAGAACACGTAACCTGGCACTAATGCACAGACGCTACTTAGCGCCCCCATTTCCGCCCACGAGCGTCTGTGACGCAGGCTAATATTGAACTTACCCGGACCGAAAATTACTACGGCGAACGTCTGCGCAACCAGGCCTCCTTTACCGTTGGATTTACAGGGGGGGGGGGAGATGCCACTAATATATTCACGATAATATTTCGAATTAAAGTATCATATTCTACCATACTTTCCAACAAAGAGGCGCTGTATGTTACTTCTTCCTTAAATTTCTTCAATCTCCGTCGTTTAATTTTCTTTTCTTCGACAACATCTCGAGTTTTATACAGTATCCGATCGAAGGAGTTTTTATTTTGAATATCAAATTTCAAATAATGTAAACAGTCGCTACGCGGCCGCGATTGGCTGGTTGTTACCGGAAATATCTGCTTCCCCCCCTGTAAATCCAACGGTGAAGGAGGCCTGGTTGCGCAGACGTTCGCCGTAGTAATTTTCGGTCCGGGTAAGTTCAATATAAAATGGGTTTTGATTTCCATTGTTAAAATATGGTCCAAAACTTGTACATCTCGCCGAAGTACCTCTGTATTTTCGAAGAACGGCATTTGTTGTACATGCTGGCGAATTTTTTTGAGAATAAAGCGATTTGAGTGTGAGAATTTTCGATTCGAAGTGCCGTGCGGTCGTATCGACGATCGGGAATCGTTAGCCTTTATCATGTTTCATGTATACTAGTAATATCGAGTACAAAGTCTCGGAAAATATTAGTCCAACAAAGGAGGAATAAAAGGAGCACACACACTATCAAATAGGCAAGTCAATTTCATTTTAAAATTTATATTTTATGACATATTTTTACTATAATATACATTACTATAATATACATTTATACTGTATTAAATCTATACTGACCCTTGCGAGATTGGGCCGCCTGTGATGACATTTGCCGACTCTCGACTTTTTACTCTCGATCGACTCTCGACTTTTTACTCTCGACTTTTACTCTCGACTCTCGACTTTTACTCTCGACTTTTAGATACACTCTTCGTACAGTTGTTCGACTTCTTGACCATGAACAGTACTTGAACTTCATATTTTAGACATAAATACTTTAGACCATCCTTAATTTTAATCGTAAACGCTTTGAACTTAATTTAGATAAAACGCAATCAAATTCGCAAAGGAATGTTTTTGGTAGATGAGCGTCTCAAGCCAACCGCTTGCTGGGAGTTTGAAGGTGAAATTTTAGTCCTACATCATCCAACAACCATCAGTCCTAAATATCAAGCTATGGGTAAGTTTGTGTAAGGAAAAGCCGGAATCTATAAGTAGAAATTAAACACTTTGTGCAGTATCATTTTTAAGACACTAAGAGTCTAAGGTCAGTGCCCACAAACATTTCTTACAAATCCTTTAAAACTTACAATTTACCCATGCAAAATTCCTACTGTGAGATCACAGAAACTTTGATAGTGTAACCAACCTTCAGATACTAAAATAAAATATTTTATTTTAGTACATTGCGGCAGTATACGTCAAACGGCGACCATCTTGGCTATGAACAAAGACCACTTACGTACGGGCGACAAGGCGTTGGTACATTTCCAGTTTATAAAACAACCAGAATTGCTAAAACCTGGTACTCGTATGGTCTTCAGAGAAGGTCGTACCAAAGCGGTTGGTACTATTGTGAATATCTCTCCTAATCCTCCGCCCAAGCCGATACCAGTGACGAAGTTGAAGCCTCGCGTTCATCATAATAAACATCGATATGGTGGGAACAAAACTAGGACTACGCCGAATACGGAGTAAAAGCTGAAGCGTAAACTAGATTTTACCCAAAACTCTCGCACTTAAGCTCTGGAGGCTTATAACCCGTCGTCGAAGAGGTTTTTATTCGGGAATGCCCATCACGCTACTCAGTTGATCCTAGAAATACTTCCGTCATGATTTTAACATTTTTTTAACATGTTCAAATTATTTTAACCGTTTCACCAAAGTCTATCAAGATACGATGGTCTGGAAACTAAACAGAAGGCATTGTTTTATGTTTTTATCCGAGTTTATGTTAATTTGTGCACGGTCACGTCGAACGAACCAATGCGGACGTCTTCTATTTTCAGGGTTCGTAGCGGTCTTTGAAATCCTTGAAAGTCTTTAAATTTGAATGCAGGTTTTACGGTCTTTGAATTGTGTGAAAAAGCGAAGAAAGTCTTTAAATTCTTTAGTGAGTAATTTGATTATACATTACGATTTCCTAACTAATAAAATTGATTGAAGCAAGATTTTCGCAAATATCGACGAAAAGGCGCGTTTTGGGATGTGATTTGACGCGACTAATTACTGGGTAAAAATGAAACTTACACTCGCAATTTTTCAACAGCTGATTGCTCTCAAAGGTCTTTGAAGTCTTTCAAAATAGGCAGAAAAAATCTTTGAATCTTTTTGGTCTTGGAGACTACGAACCCTGATTTTGTAGCTTTGAAGTTTGCCGGGCTTCCAGACCATCATATCTTGGGTATCACTCTGCAGTGTACTAGTTACGCAGAGATAATTAACATTAATATAACCACAGTGCGATATAACGCAATTAAACTTCTTACCGCACAAGAGTGGGTCGCGCTGCTTCGGGTTTAGCCTGCGTGGCGCGGAACAGCTCACTCTCCGTCAAGCTTTTTTTTTTACAATGATGCAATTCACGACCCTACACTAGCTGCGTTTATTTTTTGCTTCTGGCTAAAATTTCCTATGTTACAACGCAAAATAAACCAAAAGTATTTCATTTAAACTATATTATACAAGACAATTCTTATGTTAGACTTGTCCATTCGCACGACTGCTAGTCTGGATGGTATTGTCACGATTCATTAATATTATAAAGGTGTGGTCTCACGGGTAAAGGGCACTTAACATATAAGATATCTATGGCACTTAAGTCTGTTAAACAGTTCTCTACAACAGCAAGATAACATATTATATCACATATGAATTTCGTTTCTATGGGGAGTAAGAATAATAAAATCTACCAAAGTAATGAGGAATAAATTAAAACAGATGAGAAAAGCTTACAATGCCGTCTAAAATATGTCAGAAAGTGTACAGAATATTTTTACTGACTCGGGTATACACCGGGGGTGTAACCTTGTTGTTGGTAGTTCTGGCTGTAGTCATAACCGGTAGTATTCTGTTGTTGATAACCAGCAGTATTCTGTTGTTGATAACCAGTAGTAGTAGCTGCTGCCTGTGGTTGTTGCTGGTAGTTAGAATAACCTTGATACGATTGTTGCTGGTAGTTTTGTTGTTGGTAGTTATTCTGTGGTGTGGCTTGCTGCTGGTAGCTGTTCTGCGATGTGGCTTGCTGTTGTTGTTGGTATCCACCACCACCAGAGGAGTGCGAGTTCTGGCCACCACCATAGCCGTTTTGGCTACCACCTTTGTAACCACCACCACTGCCATTCTTGTTATAACCCCCACCGCCACCACTCTTGTTATAGCCACCGCTACCTCCACCACTCTTATAACCGCCACCAGAACCTTTGTAACCACCACCGCCTGATGACTTGTCAGAATTTCTGTAGCGACTTCGAGCTGAAAAAGATCAGAGTTCAGGATTACACTAAAATTCTTACACGAATTAAATGGAGAACGTATATTTGATATCTAAACGACGATAACTGTGTGGTTATGGCAAAATGCCAACATTTAGGGATCATGTATTACAAACTTACTTCGTCCACCAAAACTGCCAGCCATTGAAACGAGATCCCGGAGCTTACTGCTGACTTGTTGCTTCGCTTCTTGGAGAACATTTATAAGATCCTTCGCCTGTTTCGCATTGGCATGAGTGAAGAATGTATAGGCCGTGCCGTGTCGGTCTGAACGAGCTGTTCTGCCGATACGATGGATGTAGTCTTCACTGGAAGACGGATAGTCGACGTTGATAACGAACTTTATATCACTTACATCTACATGGGGAAAGAATAGATCGATATAAAACAAGTTCTTTATGTACTAAGTTTGTATCGACTTACCTTGAATGTTGTACCCCTACTACAAAGCATTTCTTGCTTACGACGATGGTACACGTATAAACGTGGTAATATGTACCAAAATAACCAACCTTCGTACACACATACACTGGAAATATTTTTAACTATATTGATGAACCAGGCCAATGACCTGGTTTAAATCTCACACACACGCTATATATACAAGTTACAGCAAGTTGTAAACACTCGTGACTTACAGCCACTCTTCCAGACATCACACAAACGTTTACCTCTCGAGGGAGTGAATAGACGACGCAACTTACAAACCAAACGTAATCGCTCTTAGTTTTGTAAGGTCATGAAGAGTGAAGTTTTTACGCAAGAGTTGAGTATAAACAGTATATTACACAACAGCACTGATAACATAAACTTTTCAAAATGAGTTTTTGATGTAAAATGAAACCTAACAATTCCATTACAACTTAAAGGAAAAGTTTTAAGAAAAGCTTATAATTTCAAAGACAGTACATTTGTTGAACGGCAGTCACCCAATGTCAGACGGAGTATCAAACCACCAAAAATCTTATGTTTGAAAAGCTAATGCTTTCAGGCTGAATACACATTAAATTCTTAAATTTTGGTGGAAGACACGATTCATTCAACTTCGCTGGTGACAACACGTTACATAACACTTGATCGTAATTTCTCAAGAGACTATTCCTACTTAGCTAAACAAATTACTAAATGGGATTCAGGGTCGATTAATACAGTAATCTAAAACAAGTTACGACTTATTTACTAATTTATGTTGAAAAAACGGAATATTAAAGTTTTGATCAAAGTAAGTCGACAAAGTAAAACATAGCAAAAAGGTTCAATTTCTACTCCAATGAATAAAATTTCTACTCTTACTTAAAAAAATAGGTATCAAAAATATCTACTACTTTGACATTGAATTTCATTTTTGAATTGTGTATTAGTTCTACTAACACATCTTTAAAAGGTCAAAGTTTTGCTCATACTTTTCCTTCTTCACACTCCAGCCATTTGTAGTTACTTGCATTGTACTTAGACGAAATACTATGGTCAAAACATTAGTATTTCGTCGCCTTAAGGAGTAAACTAAAACTTTCACAACTCTTGCAAATACTTCACTAACAAATCACAACCCTTTGTTTTACGAATATTTCCAAGCATTTTTAACAGGAGAAAGACTTTTACAATCCTTCGCCTTTGCTCACCGGTTTGAATTGAAACTTCAGTTTTGGAACATTCTTAGTGGCGTCACTCCCCGTCGTGGTTTACTCACGTGATGTCATGGTTAGTCCACCAACACAGTCTTTCATAAGCAGGCATTCAGGGTCAGGTCGTTAGCGTACTTCTCACCGACTGACCCCTACAACGCTACTTCGAAACACAGTGAGAATAGTTAGTATTTTTTGTGTTATATCAGGGGGGAGGGTGGACTAAGTGAAGGAATAAAACACACAACAAAATTGCACACAAGTAAAAATTGAAATATACCAGGATAAAAACAAAACTATCAAGTTAAAATTCAACAACACACACAAAATATGTAAGAAATGTTTCAACTGTTTTAAAAATTTGAATCAAATTTAAAAACTCAGGTTGACTTACCTAGACCTCTGGAGGCTACGTCAGTAGCTATGAGAATGGGAGCATTGCCAGAACGGAATTCTAATTGAGAAAATAAAGATTCTATGTTCACCCAGTTGCTACTGAAAGAGCAATTTCACAAAATCCTTGCACACATGTTCAACCTAGAAAACATTAGGGCCATTTATACGGGACAAAATAAGTCGCGTCTTACGTAATACACGTCTTGTATAAGCTGAGTTATCGCATAAATGGTTCTCTACGGATTTATTCTTATTTATTTGCTATAGCTATGTTGTTTCGGTTGTTTTTGTTCGAATATGCAAGGCTAATAATTTTACGTTGTTTCAAGTTTCGGGCATGTGTAGTTAGGATTTTTGTCTAAAATTTCTTATTTAAGACGCGACTTAAATAAGAACAGCTAAAAGTCCCGTTCTTACGCGTCTTATCCAAGACGCGTCTTACGTAAGAATTTTGTACCTTTTATACGACAAACTTGCGTCTTATTTAAGTCGCGTCTTATGTAAGTCGCGTCTTATGTAAGTTGCGTCTTATTTTGTCCCTAATGAGTCTTTCAAGACCTTTCATGTGTGAACTGTATGCTACAAGAAACAAAGTCCCTCGTGAAATACACAATGGACCATTTGCATATAGACTAAATTTTGATCTCAACAAGTCTAGACAAAAATTTTATCACAGTTTGAAAGAAAATCACAAAATTAGTAACATTCCAAAGTTTCGTTGCAAAATGTTGTAAAATACAGATAATATAGCCTTGCGAAGTTTGCTGTTTTTCAGTCATTTTGTATTACAAACGGGAAATTGACCAGCCCCAAAGGGTATTGGGCTGTCAATTTCCCCCGCATAATGCAAAATATGACTTGCAAAATGACTGAAAAACAGCAAACTTCGCAAGGCTATATTATCCGCATTTTACAACATTTCGTAACGAAACTTTGGAATATTACTAATTTTGTGATGCTCTTTCAAGCTGTGATGTTAATGCAAATTTTTGTCTAGCCTTGTTTAGATCAAAATTTAGTCTATAATGCAAATGGTCCATTAGCAACAAACATTACCATTTAAGACCCAGTCACGTTCAGGTTGCGATTTATCTCCATGGATGCACATACAAGGCCATCTATTAAAACCAAAATAAATTCAGAATAAACTCTAAACTCAGTTTTCACATTTCACACAAGCTAGCTAATTGCAATTAGCCTCAGTAACGAGGAATTCACAATATTGTCAGCAGTGATAGTATGACAAATGGAATCATCATAGGCTCTTGACATCGATGATAAAAGCAGCATTGTAAAAAGACGCAAGATTGTAAACACACACCCTTCTCGTCTCAAACTTCTCGTAAGATCGTCAGCTTTTCTCTTCGTCTCTGTAAATATCAAAGTCTAGAAAAAAATATTTAGATTTTAACATCATGAAAAAGAGAGATATAGTTCAGCAGGTCATATTTTGATGTGGAATTAGACCAACCTTATTCTCTTTCTCTCCCATAATCTCTTCCAAAAGTTTGGCAAGTCTAAAATGATAATTAAAAATTTTTAGTGCCACAAAAAATATTCTATTACAAAAATCCAAAACAAAGCTAAAGATAAATATCCTAAGCAAAGATAATCAAAGAAGCAAAATTCTATATTCCACTTACTTTCCAGCCTTTTCATATTCTTGGCAAACGTCGACAATCTGGAGAATATTATGATTAGCATGAAGTTGCAAGGAGCCAATATTGACCTGGATGTAATCAGTAAGAAAATCTCTTGCTAAACTTTGCACTTCCTTCGGCCATGTTGCACTCCACATGAGCACTTGTCGGTCAGGTCGGATCTGCTCAATAACTGTTCTGATCTGAGGTTCGAAACCCATATCCAGCATCCTGTCGGCTTCATCAAGAACAAGGTATGTGCATCGTCGGAGGTTTGTTTTGCGAGCTTCAAGCATATCAATCAGTCGTCCAGGTGTTGCCACTACGATTTCACTCCCTTTAGAAATAAAGGATTATTCAAATGAGAAAAAATATGTTGCTACCTTTGTTTATACTATGTAGCACTATAAGTTCTCATTCTTGGTCTAGTGTCTCTAAAGGATTTATACACCAGTTTAAAATCATCTCCAGGAGGAAACCTAAACTAACTTTATTTATACTGGTTAACTCTATCAGTTCTAGGTCCAGGAAGGGTCAAAACATTAGATGTATAATTGCACGATTACCTCTCTCGAGCTCTCGTATCTGCGGTCCTTTGGGAGCTCCACCGTAAACACAAGATGTGCGGACTTTGCAGGTTCTCCCAAACTGCTGAGCAACGCCCTGGACTTGCTGGGCCAATTCTCGAGTTGGACAAAGAACAAGCACAATGGGGCCATCGCCATGTTGCAACAAAGGTTGGTTGTTGATATGCACAATACCAGGAATGATGAACTATGGAGAAACAAAGATTGAAAATCAAGCAGTAAACAAATGGTTCAAATTTTCAAAAGTGCAAGCAATTACAATATTACATTCGCATTATTGACAAGGAATTCATAAATCTGTCAGGCATGATAGTATGACAAATGAAATAATCATAGACCCTGGTCCCTATGTTCTGCTGTCCAAGGGGAGGGAGGTTCATTTAGGATTGGAATAAAACAGAAAAATTTATGAAAAAATTTACTTGATGTGAAATTGAAATTTAGAAAAGTGGAAACACTAATGGCATTTGCAAATGGGTTATTCCAGAAAACATCCATACCACCCCCACAGAGGAAATAGGAAGTTAATCCCCCTACCCCCTTCGGATATCCTAATACATTTACTATTATCAGAAACAATTTTTTCTCCCCTCCCCCTCAGGATGGCAGAAATTTCCTCCGTGGGGGGAGACGGAACGTCCCAATGGAAACAGAACCTTGTATACTATTTTTATTCCATTTTCACTTTTTACATAATTTCAAAGTGCCTGTGTGTGAAAAATGGTTTATTACCGAGATGGTTTTTCCAGATCCAGTTTGAGCAATACCAACGACATCTCGACCAGACATCGCCATAGGCCAACCTTGTGCTTGTATAGGAGTTGGCTCAGTGAAACCCATTCTTGCCAGTTCACCCACAATATAATCTAAACAGCAATAGGAATAACAATCAATTTCCATTTCTATGAATTTAGCTATTACAACAGTCAGATCTCTCGGCGTTGTATCAGGACAAGCGCCTTTCACCTCCGAGCTTGTGGTTCGATTCTCACTACGGACTTGTGTGAAAAAGTCCATCAACGGTCTGCTAAAAGTTGTGAGTTAACAGGGTGGGAATGAGGGTGGGGTAGAATAGTTAAAGTGAACTATGTATATTGGGACATTGTAAACTGTGTGTAATAAAGGGCTAGATGCAAGGGAGAGGTTGGACTATTCACATGATTATCTAAAGTCTAAACATTTATTGGGGTGCATTGAATGATCTTTATCCTACTGAAGACACAGTTCCGACTCCAGACATGCTTTTTTCAGCATGCTGTTAAAAATTTACACTGAACAGTAGGTTTATTTAGAACTGAAATTTAGTACTAACAATGTGTTATTAGGGTGAGGCGGTTTTTCGGTAAACTGAAAAAAAACGATGTTTTTTGAAAACCGAAATATTCGATGTTACTTTTGGAGAAAAACCGGAAAACGGAAAAAACCGGGGGAAAACGGAAAAAACGAAGAAAAATCGGTATTTTACTGAAATCGAACCATACTTATACGAGTTTGATGCAATTGAATCACGTTTTGGCATTTACACACGAAAAACTAAAGAGAGTTTGTTTGAAATTTGATAACGTCTTCAAAATACCTTACGTTTAATATCTTGCGTAAGTACTGAGTAGCGTGTTGTGTCTTTTTTTACAGTAGTTTTGTTTTTCGAACGTATTTTTTAAAAAAACCGGTTCACTCTGTTTTTTCCAGTCGGTTTTCGGTTTTTTGTAGAAACCGCCTCACGCTGTGTGTTATATACCTGGAAATAACATTTCACTGAAATGTCTGACAGGTCTTGGTACATTATGACCGTAGAGCGTCATCTCTTTGGACTGTCGATATTGTTCAACTTCAGCCTGGCTCATATTCTGGACATTTGGATGTTCTTTATAGAAATTCTTCTCAAATTTCTCCAAGCTGTTCACATCCCATTTTGGTTTCCTCAGGTTGGCACCAGGTTGGTTAAACTTGTCCTTCTTTCCGTAGCCACCACCACCGTAACCACCCCCGCCACCATAACCACCCCCGCCACCATAACCCCCGCCACCACCATACCCACCACTTCTACCACCACCACCGTAACCACCTCCGCCACCGCTACGACCACCACCACCAAACCTACAAAATGATAGCAAGGCCCGGTTAAGACAGCGAACTTTCCATGTGCTAAACCTAATCAAATTATTGGTGCAAGTTTGGCAACTGATTCAGAAGTCGGACTTAATTGTACCATTCCAAAATACAAGTACATTACATCAGAAATTTTCATGCTCAATTGCTAATGTCAAACGTGTGTCGCATAGTATAACTTGCCAAACTTAATTGATTTAGACGCTGCTCTTCTGTCATACTTAATCTTTGCCCAGTGTGGAAAATTTGTATCGCACAACCAAGATATCGGGCGCACAATTTTGATGCTTATATAATATTAAATTTTTGAAATCTTGTCGCACAATTTCCAAACTTTCCAGTCAGGATCATCGCATTAGGTTTGGTGCATGAAAAGTTCGCCATCTAAACCAGGCCTAAATGTTAACACCTGTGGCGATTTTGTAAAAGCTAGATGATCCATTTGAAGAAACTCGTAAATGCAGTTAACTGACAGTTGAACCATCTGTGTAGCTTGTCTATCTGCATATACGCCAACGTACATCCGGGCAATTTATCTGTCTTCTTCAATCTTTAGTGCTTCCCTTGTCATTCTGCCTAATTTTTTATCAATACAATTTTACAATATTTTCAAGGCCAAAAACGTTCCCCAACTACAGTACTATTATCCTAAATGCTTCTATAAATATTTATGTTCACATTTTTTGAAAGAAAACCACGTTGAAACGGGATAAAACCCGATGTCAATTCATGAACCGACTTTCAGTCGCACATGTCTTCAGGCAAATTTATGAAGAACCAATATTTTAATTTATATACACTTTTGAAAGCCTAAAACAAGAAATATTCACTACAGGAAAGCTACATATACTAATAAAGATTCAAGGCAACAAACAAGTTGACAATAGACAGTAGAAATCCAACAACTAAGCGTTTTTAATCAAGTAGAAAATTCGCCGGCGGGAACACATGCGGTCGACATTTTTATTAAAACGAGTCCAATATACAAATATACTTTACCCTTTCCTATCCGAACGACCGCCAGAATCGTAGCCTCTGTCTCTTCCAAATCGACTCATGGTTCTTGCTAGTTGTGTGAAGGTTGATGTAGAGTTAAAAATTGATTTCTGTACAGCTGAAAAGCCCAAAAACCGACAAGGCATCGAGCAGGGAAGGAAGTCTTTCTCCGAGAAAGACGAAAAGGCTTATAAACGAGGGAAATGCATGAACTGACGTCATTTCATCTGGCTTTCTCATTGGTCGAAATATCATTACGCAATATTAAATATTCTGCCGATGATCTTCAGGGACGCCGGAACGATAATAGGGCAAAGGGGGGCGGACGCACACCAAGGGCACCTTTACTGAAAATTTTTTTTTCACGCCAAAAAAATTTCGGTCAGTGTACCATTTTAGGGGTCAAAAATTTTTTCCGGACATACAAAAATTTTCCGTGATGCCAAAAATTTTTCCGTATAAAATATTTTCGCCATTTCTTCAAAATATTTTTCTAAAATTTTTATAAATATAAACTATAAATTACCTGAATCTCGTCATTTTCCCACAAAAAGCATCATTGGAAATGTGATTTATCACGTATTATTTTACAACTAAAAGGGCACTTCTGCCCCCCCCTGCCCCCCTAGCAAAGGGCAAGGGGGGCAGCCGCCCCCCTTGCCCCCCCCAGTTCCGGCGTCCCTGAGTTTGGGTGAACGTTAGGGAGTGCTCATTATCCTTTCTTTCAACTGAATTGCAAGAGATGCAGCTCAATTGCAAGTCAAATTGACTCAAACGCAGTAAATGTCTGATCACTGCCAAAGTGAAGGGTTTAGTTTTTTTGGCAAGGGAGAAAAACTCAACAGTAAGGCCAAATAAAAAAAAAACTTGGTTAGCGTCACCGCCAGCCTCTCGATTACTGCTGCCTACGATTTTTTTTAATGTAAATCTCTTCGTTCGTAAAGCTCAGACCTTCGTGCTATATACTATCTATAGGAGCGTGTGGGCTTGGGTATACAAGGTTCTTATAGCAAAATGGCCGCCTTCACAACATCAGTACAAAATATTTCACTAATATGGTGGAAAAACCACCCCCATCCCCCGAAAAAATACTATTAAAAAATTAAAAACGAATTAAAAATTTTTTTAAAAAAAACACCCGCCCACCTCTGAAAATTTGTGAGAGTGTGACGCTACAAGTATTTTTTTTATTTGGCCTAATGGACAATCTGCCACCTGTACCTGGTACTAATTAATTTCAGGGGCAAGTTACAAGATTTTCAGACTTAGAGTACATCACATACAAGAATATAAATACATGTATTTAATTGTGTTTCAATATACAATATTTAAGTAGAGCTATCTAGAAAATCATAATTATATAACTGATGTTCATTGCAATTAAATTAACAAGAATGAAAATAAATGTCAAGCAACAGCATGGTCAAGTTCAGATAAAGGTCCTTCCAAATATTTTGCCAACGCTAAGGTCTGAAACAAAAACAGGTTATTAAAATACCGTTCATCCTTAGATGCAAACAACGATAATAACATAGGCAGCAGTAGTCCACAGCTTTCCAACATTCAAATACTTACTTTTGTTTTTAAAAGTCCAAGACCAACAGATTTCTTAGAATGAAGGCATAGCAACAGATCTGAAATACTTGTTATTGCTACCTTACCATCCTACAGAGACATTGAAATAATTTTTGTTAGGACTCTGAAATATGTTGAGAAAAACAGGGATTCACTTTCTAAACACTATTTTGCAGTAGCTGTTTGTCTACATGCAGTTTGTGGAGTAACTCATTGTATTGGCACAGCCAAGATTCTATTTGGGGAGGGGGGCAAGCCCGGGCAACTAGGGGTTTGAATTTTAGGTCTCTAAAATGGCAATCCTGCAATCAATAGAGGCTAATTAAATTAAACATATTTATGAATTTCTGGTCAATATTCCTTAACACCACTATAAGTTATTTGGAGAATAAAATGTAGAGCATCATACATCACAATCCATCAGTACAAAATTCAAGCTTTCTGTGTGAAAACTCTGCTTGATATTGGAATGATAAGCAGTCCAGATACTCGATGCAATAGCTGCAGTTACTCTTGCCTCTTTGTCACCTGAACCGGCAAATGCCAGCAGAGAACCGTTGCTTTTTAAAAGACTAAACATAACAAAAGAATAGTTGTCAGGATAAGGTAGTTATCTGCGACTGTCCATCCTTGGATGCCAACGACGGTAAAATCACATGACAAAAATGGTCAGCACTTGTTTCCAACCACCAAACTGACATGACGTCATTTTCAGAAGATTGAAGAGGTGTTAAATGGCTATGTAACTAGCCCAAACCCTACCGCTACTCTAACCCCTAACTCTAACCCTAACCAAATTAATTAAAAAATCCAAAAAGAAACAACTTTAGAAATTGATCAAATGACGTAATGTCAGTTTGGTAGATGGAAACAAGTGAAAACCGACAAAAATACATCAATGTTATGTATCTATAAAAATAGTATACTGAAATAGAACATTTTAGAAAAAGCAATCCTACTATCCAACGTTTTTTATTAAACTATCAAACTTTCACATTCCAAAGTGTCAATGTTTAGAACAAATATCCTTACATTGTACTCATAATTCCTCCCGTAGTTTCCTGAGCTAGCAGCTCCGTCAAGACTTTAGGTTTCAACATGTCTTCCAATTCTACAAATTTTGGGCCTGTGCTGCTTATAACTGAACCAATGATGGCCAATATACAAAAATTAATTCAAGTATTGGCACATCAGAGCAAAAAAACTCAAAACTTTCGAAGTTTGTGGTTTTAAATTTTCCAATTTTATTTTTGCGCAATAATTTGATCGAAGACTGGGTCGAGCTTGAAATCACGATTGGTTCCGACGATGTTCCGACTTATTCAGAAGATGTATATTAGCATATTTCGCGCGAATCCCGCAAATTGATAGAGCTATCAAAATAGTCAACGAGTTTTCAAATAGATTCTAGTTATTTTCATGTGGTTTTTCAATTAGTTAATAGTGTGTATTATTGTCATAGAAATATTAGACCTATATTACTATGATATTTAATTTTAGGTCTAATATCCCTATGATTATTGTTTACACAGTAATAATATATCCTTTTCCAATAGAACTACAATTTCTAAAATTAAAATCTATATTCCATATTCTATAATAAATTCATTTAAATTTCAAATATTGCCATAATGCATACGTGTGTAGTATCGTTTTGAATAGGCATGAATTTCGGTTGTTCGTAGAGGATCTGAATGTGCCTTTAGTGAGTCAATTTCTTTTTGGTGTACAATCATATAAACAAATATGAAAATCAGAGAAATAATCGACCAAAACCTTGGGTGCCCAATTGTAATGCAACCCCCCCCCCCCTTGCTGGTGGTTTTAGTAACACAACCGACGTAGTCTAATTATTTACGCCGGGGGGTGAGAATGAACGTTTCGGTAGAAGGGGAGGCTTGGGATCTTCATCAGATACCGACATGAGACTCGCGAGCAGCTCGTCCACCTTTTCGTCTGAATGAGACCTGGATAAAATAAAAACAAAATGAACAATAAGTATAGAAACTCGATGTATTAGTAAAGTCACATAGTGCTGTTTTTTCTCAGGTTTGTGCGAAAAACAAATAAAGGTATGAGGTATTACCAAAACCCACTGGCTTCTTCAAAAATGGTGGTCATATCTAAAAATACAGAGGCCAGTTGTCGAGAGAGTGTAGCTCAGTTGGTTAGAGCGCTGCAATGGAATCGCAACGCCGCAGGTTCAATTCCTGACAGGGACTTAAAGTTGCATTTTTCGTTTCTGTTCCTGGTTAGGTCTAATAAATGTATGTGAATTTCCACTCAACAATTTCCATCTACAATACCCATCAAATATCATTCATTCGAGTGAGATGCCACAAAAATCTTGATAGCTAAACTAGAATTGAATCAGCCACTTTCTCTAGCAAAAATAAAACTCACATTTCGTTATCATCTTCCACCACAGGTTTAACATCAACCAGAGTTGCAGCTTCATTGAGCAAGGTTGGCCGTTTTGTCGATTCGTCAGACGAACTTAGTTGTCTTCGAAATGATGTATTGTTTTTGAAAGAATGTTTTTCTTCATTTGATGAACTAGTGTCTGTACGATTCGTAGTCAACGTTGGACTCTTGGGCGACGAGAAATCAACATCTAGTAGAGTGAGAGAAAGTTTGAAATTGGTGGAAGAAAAGGAAAAATTATGCGTTGTTGCTGATGGTGCTTTTGCTGTTGTAGTTGGTGTTTTTGTTGGTGGTGTTGTTATTTGTTTCTTGTTCTTGTAGCTGTTTCCTGTTGTTATTGTTATTTTTAATAATGCTTTTGATGGTAGTAAGTGTAATAAAGACAATGACTATGCTATGGGATAATACCTTCGGAAAAGAACCAGTCAGCATGTTCTATCAAAGCTTCCAGAATCCCAGTTAATACTCCTGTATTCTTCATGTTCATTTGTCCACTGAAACAATTCAAATATTTTTATTTCACAAAACATATATCATGCTCTTTCTTACAATTCTTACACAATACAAATGTATCGCCAACAACTGGTCATTTCTATATCATCTAGCATAACAATAATCCAAAGCAGTCACGAAACAGTAAACGGAATGTTCCATTGACTTTTCATTGCTTTTAAAATCCAATTGTTCTCCATTCCTCTTATTGTTTTGACTTATATTAGTATTTATGCAAAGAACCAAATATTTCAATATTTTTATAACTCTCTGAGAATACAATTCGCTACTTTGGAAACAACCCAAAAAATGCAAGCTAAGTAATGTTAATTATCTATGAATATCACCTCTCATCATCTATGGACCAAATGAGATTCGGGGCCATGACTATAGCAAGATTATGTGCGTTCATTTTACCAATTTCTGAGTTCTGTTCAATCTTCGCCAAGAATTTTATTAGATATCTGCAACGATTATATAAGATTTGGCAAGTTGCCGCGTATTTACAAATTACAGAACTTAACAAATACTGAATATGTGATGTGCAGATGGCAGGCGGGGTTGGGGGGGGGGACTTGGCCAGTTTACCTTAAATTATCTTTGTTAGCTTTAGGTAGTTGTGAAACAACAGTCCATAGTTTCTGTAGCCGATCATCTCGCTCTCTGATGCTGAAAAGTGAAAGTTAATGGGCAAAAGATAAATAAAACAGCGCTAGACAGAGTATATATTAAAGACCTGCAGTGATATGTAAGTGATAAGGTTCAGGTTGCAGGTTAGGAGCGGGTTAATGCTTTATGAAGATTGAGTTTCGCTATTTAGTAATAATTTTATTTAATTCCAACCTTCCAGCTTCAATCCATTCATGATGAAGTTCAAAGGTCATCAGAGGTTCTGGTAGTTCTCGTAGATATTGTTTGAGAGCGCCTGGCAAGAGGAAAAAATCATAAAAATCACGATGGCACGAGTCAAGGCTAGTTTCCACTCAGGAAAATTATCCGTGGATTGGAACGGACAAGAAAATGTTTCTTTCTTGTGAGCTCTGGGTTGGAACTAATGACTTTAACACAAAGAAAAATTTTCTTGTCCGTTCCAATGCACGGATAATTTTCCTGAGTGGAAACTAGCCTTAAGGCAATGCTTAAACCAATACACAATAGTAGTAAAATATAGTATGTGAACCTGTAACAGCGTGTACGTCATATTCTTCGCCTGAAAGGTCGGCTAAACCTGCGTCAAACGAAGCCTGGGAAACAGAAAAGAAGAAAATATAGTCGAACCTTAATAGGAAGCGATCACCTTTTGGATCCAACCGAGCTATCCGCTTAAAAGATTGACCACCTATTCCAAAACTGACCTTTAACTTTCTAACTTTCGTTGCTTGCCCAGCTATCCTAAACAAACCCTACAACAAAAAATATAAGAGTCTCGCAAACCAAGTAAAAAACCATTACCAGCAGACAATTTAATAAAATACAAGAAAAAACATACTCCGAAGAATAACATCTTGTAAACTCAAGATATGAGCTATAACACAAGATATACCGCAAAATTGTTGTCTTGTGTTATAGCTCATATCTTGAGTTTACAAGATGTTATTCTTCGGAGTATGTTTTTTCTTGTAAACCAAGTAAAGCAACAGCTATGGTATATACTAGTAAACATACATGTTTTTTTACAGTAGTACCTCAGTATCCATGCCATGTTGGAATATAAACCTCACACATTCTTCAATGACTAGCGCAATTTCTCTTTTCGTGCTTTCTAAGTGTTTCTCTAATGGACATCCAAATGTACTGGAGTGAGATCGCACGATTCCTAAATAAAAAAAATACGCGAAGAACGATTCATATTTTTTTTCATTAAGATATACTGTATGATCATTATTCAATACCGTGATCTAAACTGTCAATAGTCCTGGGAAGAAATCATGCTTGATAATTTCTTGATAGTATAAAGGCCCATTTCCACTAAAGAAAAATTTCCACGAACAGAAAATTTTCCGAAAATATCATTGTTAAAAGTTGAAAATTTTCAACTTCAAAATTTTTTTCCGACGGAAAATTTGTGTCGGCCAATCACATTTTACAAAATTTTCTTTCTGCGGAAAATTTTCCTGAGTGGAAATGGCCTTAATATCCTATCATCCGTCTCTGGCAAATATCCTTACCCATTTCTTTGTCTAGTAAAGGCATTATTTCTTCCAAATGTTCTGCCGCCCTCTGATGAAACTCCAATTGTGCAATGGCGAACTGCATGAGAGTAAACGAATTAGAATGGTAAAGAATACAATGAAATAGAATTGGAATAGAATGGGGAAAGAATGGAATGAATTAGAATGGGATGGATGGAATGAATTGGAATGAGATGAATTAGAATGGGATAGAATGAATTAGAATGGGATGGAATGAATTAGAATGGGATGGAATGAATTAGAATGGCAAGGAATGAATTAGAAGATGGAATGAATTAGAATGGGAATGGAATGAATTAGAATGGGATGGAATGAATTAGAATGGGATAGAATGAATTAGAATGGGATAGAATGAATTAGAATGGGATAGAATGAATTAGAATGGGATGGAATTAATTAGAATGGGATGGAATGAATTAGAATGGGATGGAATGAATTAGAATGGACTGGAATAGATTAGATTCAAACATAATGTAATAAAAGTTAGTTAATTTACCTTTCTAATGTGTTCAGCATATTCTCGTTCTTTGGAAACCAAGGTGAGCATTTCAGTGATAAAAAGATCCTAGAATGATGTGATAGAAATAATTATCATTTTTAAATCTTCACTGAAGCTCGAGTTACAAGTATTCAAACCTTGGCAGCTTCAAATTTCATCATCTCATCTTCATAATGTGTCTTAAGTTGCTCTGTCTTGGCCTCCGCCGCAGCATAGTCCTTTGGATTACCGCTTTCCTTCGCTTTCAGAGCTGCATGATATCTACAGAAGACAGAATGCAGTTGGATGTCTCTTATGTAGACACTGAAGGGACACAGCAAGGTGTCTGTGTTAGAGGTGTCTGTTTTCTTGAGATTTATTGAAAAAGATATATATTACATTGGGACAATAGAAACTGTCTATCATACATAGGTGTTCATTTTAAAGAGCTGCCAGTGAGGTTAGATTTACAGGAGGAAACAGGATACAAGACTGTTGAAAGTCATGTACATGTAAATAGAAACATTTTCTAAGAAACAAGAATTGAGAATTATTGAAATTAAAGTACCGTACCTTGATCTCAATGTATCCATATCTAGTCCAATTTTTGCCAACTTCTTTTTATTTTGGTTTATTGATGGAATATCATTCTAAATATTGATTAGTGAATGATTAATGTAACAGAACTCGTAAAACATGACAAAATCAATGAATTCTCACCTCAACAACAGTTTGAAATGGTGCAATTATATTTCTCTCAACTTCCATCTCGTACTCAGCAATATCCTTCGCAATTTCTGTTTGGGAATTTCCACATATCCGTGCCATGTTCCTGAAGAACAGAAATTTGAAAGCAACTCAGTTCATTGAAGCTCTTAACAAATGTTATAAGCTTACAAAGGCCTTACCCAAGGATTGACTCCTCTCCAATTACAACAGCTACTTCCTCCATGCTTTGTGCTAATGCTGAGTGAGGAAGCTTTTTCTGAAATAAGGCAAAAAAAAGTATATCTCATTATAATTGATTATTGATAACAAATACAATAAAACATTCTGGGGCTGGTTTTTCAAAGCTGGGTTAGCCTAACCCTGGGTTAATGTTTCCAACAGCTTGTTTATAAATTTGGAAATATTTCTTTAGTGATCTTGTCTGAATCAGTAGGAGTTATCGTCTCTGAAGTTTTGAAATGAACATATGTTCAGAAATAGATAAACTGAAACAACAGTTTAACTTTTAATAGAGGGTTAGCGCTAATCCATTCTCGTACCCAGAGCCCTTCTTGCAACGAGGGGCTCTGGCCAAATCCATATTCTGAACTGGCATCTGATTGGCTAGTTCTAACACCGGACATTGTTTTCTTACCATGTTTTTATGGTATCCGGTTATGAATCGGCATCCGGCATTTTTATGGTATCCGGTTATGAAACCCAAGTAGAATTTTCTCCATACACAAACAAAATAGGATATATCACAAATCTAAACCTTACCAGTCTTTTGTCCACATCAGGCCCTGTGCTCTGCATGCATGCATTTAATTTCTTGCTTGTTGTTTGACAGACTTGTCGGATTTTCTCCACCTTCTTTTCAACCTGGGACGAGGAACGGATGTGTAAAATAATGAAGGATGCAAAGGGTTAGGGGAAGAAGAGGGGGTTATTCTTATAACTTGTACCCCACACAACACATTAGCTCCCTTTGTTCCACCATATGCCAATTAATAAAGACTCTCCCCTTGATGAGTAAAATCATCTGACGGTAGACAGGATGAAATTTATAAAGTCAGGTGCATTGCAGCTTAACCCATTGAGCCACAATGTGCCCCAGTGCGCTCTACCTATACTTTTTTTTTACTTGTCTAACACCAGACGATTTTACTCGTCAATGGGGAAGTTCTGCAGCTTAATGGGTTAATCAAAAAATCTAACAATGTCTCTAGTTAACCCATTGAGCCGCAATGCGCCCAACTTTTTAACTACAGCTTAATGGGTTAATTTGTTAACTAGACACTTTTAACTCTAGATAGTTTTGTTAATGAGGGTTTGTTAACTGGATGCTTATTAACTATAGGTTCATTAACTATAGGTTCAATTGTATTAATAAATAAATGCTTACATCTTGTAGGTCCTCATTCAGTATTGCAGTCTTCTCTGCCCTGTGCAGAAAAAAGAAATAAATTCTCTTATTTTGGATATATTGCAAATTGATTTTGGTGGGTGCATTAGGGTGCTATAATGGATCAATAGTTAACTTGTAATAAATATTTTTGTTTTGAAACTCTGGCTAACATTAATGTATAATATTAATGGGTCATTCCAGAAAACATCCATACTACCCCCACGGAGGAAATAGGAAGTTAATCCCCCTACCCCCTTCGGATGTCCTAATACATTTACTATTATCAGAAACAATTTTTTCTCCCCTCACCCTCCGGACGGCAGAAATTTCCTCCGTGGGGGGAGTATGGATCTTTTCTGGAACGACCAAATATATAACTGTAATATATAATATTTGCCATCTAAGTGCCTGCTGAAAATACTTTTGGCAGCTGATTTTAAATTGAATTAAATTAACATAAGTAAACAGAGGCACAAGGCTTGATTAAAATTGTTAGAATGAATGGGAAGGACCACATTATTCAAATAATTTAATCTAATCAACACTTTATATTTGCTGATAAACAAGAGATAAATATATGATCAATATCAGTATCAGTCTGTGCATATATATACACCTATTAATCTTAAATATATCTGTTTTAATTTTACATATTAATTACATAACAGGGTAATAAATTGCTTCTATGGCTCAATATACAATGTTACAAGTTTATTCTTTGTCACAATTAATGTCAAATTAGAAAGAATACACAAACTCACAAATGGGCTTCGGGGGAATCAAATATGTTATCAGCCGACAGCCGTTACAGTATATATTTGCCAAAAGTAAATGGCGAACATATTGTTCTTTTTATATAAAGTCAAACTGGTTTTATTAAAAGGTATATTCCTTCTTGGAAGCAAGAGAAATGTTTCGAAAATCTCCGATGTGGCTTTATTTATAAATAAATATATAACAAAGAATCACAATTAGCAAATTGCCAATATTTGACCAGGAAATATTGTAATTTTCGACCTCGTATTTTGACATTTATTCCGCCTTACCGTCCAACGCGCTGGTCAGCAAGCTGTTTCACTCTATAGAACTGTTTCCTCATTCTGTAAACTAACTTTCTCGAACGTTTTTCTTTAAATTCATCAAATAATTTCCCCGGAATTACACAAATCGATTGCTAATAGTGTAGTCAACGTCGGCCATGTTTATTTTTGGGTTTGGCCCTTCCCCCCCAGTCAAATCAAAAATGGTATTACAAATTTTAAATGATCATCTCCAGGAATGCAAAACACTTCGGGTGTTTGTTTTGGAGGTGTTTTATGAAAATATATTGCGTTCTTATATATTTAATTGCATTAAACAATTATTTTCAAACATAGAGTGATAGAGTGAAAAATAGTTACTTCTGGAGTCATTATTTCTCATTCATTACACGTTCATGCCAGTGCACGGTCATTTCCGATCGGAAAAGGCGAGTCTGCATCCCTTGTCGAATAGTTTTGTTTTAAAACAATTCAATTTCAAAACAACAATTGCTTGAAACAATTCTAGAGCTTTCTTACGTACAATTACACTGTTTAAGAATAATATTTTTGATTAGGAATATATTTATTTGATATAAACTTGAAAGAATTATGAATAACATTCATTTTTTACGGTGCTTAGCGAAGATTACCCGATTAACATAATCACCTTCTTACGTATGGGGTTTCTCACGTAGCGGTAATTAATTTATGTGTCATTCAATATGGGAAAATATAAATGACCGTAGACTTGCGGTATTGGACGTGTATTAAATAGTAAATATATATGGTAAAAGTGGTACTCTATATATTTGTGAAACTCTATGTGTCTGGACCGATAGCCTACACAATCAAGTTGCACGATCGCGGCTTTCTTTGTGGAAATAATTAATTGAATGTTTCCGAAATACAATTTATGTCGGCAGTGGTTTGTTTGTACTTAGTTAAAACATCGAACGTGCTGGGTCGTTGCTGTTTGTATATAAACGGATCTGTCTCCGAAAAACATGGACAGCTACATCCAGAATGGTGTATTTTGTAGAACATTGGTCGCTTTATTGTTCTGCCTGTGGAATTTTTCCTCTCTGGGTAAGCAAAACAATTTACAATTTGAAGTACAGTCTCTTGAAAATGCACTAACCGGAACGCATTATCTTTAGTTTAATCAAATGCAGTGTTAATGGTTTGTGTGACTTATTATATCCTCATTTATGTATGTTTTGTATAGATTACATATATATGTTATAACTTTCAAGAATATTTAAGTTCATTTATACCTATAATTGTTAACATTTACAAGCGAGTACATTGTACTTGAATAAATATTAATAATATGTAATTTAAACCCTTCTTCTTTTAATGTCCGATATTAAAATCGCATGTTGGTTTTCCAGAACAAAGTCAAAATGGTGCAATTTAGCAATTAGAATTAATATAGATGTAGTATAGATTAGAAATTCGATATAATTCGATGCTTTAAATATTTTAATCCATTTAAAAAGGGTTTTGTTTTGTCTACCTAGTCGCGCTGTTTGAGTTAATAGTCAGTATTTAATGTACTAAATGCTCTTTCTCAGCACTTAATAGGCAATTGTCATTGTCGAAAACTGTTTCTCCTTGCCAAAGTCCGCTCCGCAACACATGCTATGTTTCCCCTTGTTTATGACCAACACGTTTTGCGGTTTACATGTTTTTGCGTATTCGTGAAGGCGTTTAGGAATTTAGGCGCAGCTTAGGCGGCTCAAACTGTTTACTTTTAACCTTTTGTCTGCACAAATGCAACTGTAAAACTTGCATTATTATTGCATGCTGTGTTTGTAATATACTGCCAAGTCTGATCAAATATACATCTGGGTTTGTGGATTATGTATTATCAACGAATACAGTAAAACAACCTGTTGTATACATTAATCTCAAATATTTATGGGGCAATATTTTTCTTTTGGACACAAAAGGTTATGAAAGATTAATGTAATTCTTTATATAGAATATAGACGATACTTAAATTGTTTTACTATTAGTTCAGCGTTGTTTGTGATGTTCTAGTGTAAATTTGAACAGTATTATTTCAGGGCATATGATTTGGAAAATGGTTTACATTTTTTGGTTTATAAAAAAAAGAAGACTATCAGTGACATCTCCGGACGACATCTAGCGGAAAGCGTGGGTTTGATACAGGGATAATGCACAGTATATCACGTTCAAGGAAGACGTTACGTTTGCAAATGAAGAACTTCCCGACTTAAAATAACCGAAAGAGAAAGCTATATATACGTAGATCAAACTTAGTTAGAAAAAAACTTAATTGAGAAAAAATAAAATGTCGTATCTCCAGCACAAAAACTGCGACCATGCTGTGTCTGTATAAATGTATACTCTATTTTTGTATACTCTATTTTTGTATACTCTATTTTTGTATACTCTATTTTTGTATACTCTATTTTTGTTAACCATTGTTGCTGTTTTGTGTTGTTTTTGATGATGTTCTTGCCTCGTGCAGTCTGTAGCTGAAGAACAGAACAAGTGTACCAAATTTTCTACAAAACATACACAACATTACTATCCATAACCTTATTTTTATCGCTTTCTAATTATTAATTGGTCATTTCCTCTACGCCAACTTCCGCTTTATTGTTCTTTCCACCAAATTTAGTAAATTTCCATAGCTATGATAACTATGGATTACAGGATTAACGACAAGTTAAGAATCAATTTTCAAATGTAACATGACTTTATGTAATGTCAAAAAGACATTGAATTTCATTTTTCCGGGCTAGGTAAGTTAGAATGCTGAACTCCAAATTCATGACGTTGGCGCTGCATTTTTTCCCAAACGCAAAACAACTGTAGAACGTGCCCAGTTTACGCGTGCACGCTGCGAATCGGCATGACCTTTGCATGATATCTTGTCTAATTTTAGCAATAAAGTCTCCCAGGGTATAAATTCCACACGTTTATTAGCATATCTATTTTTGCTTCGCAATCCATAGACAGACAAATATGTTATTGCATGCATTATGCAGCCATTTCTGTCAAGCCACGAGCGGTGTTTTCAGCCCTAATTTGTCAGGTTTATAGGTTGACCTGTCCCAATGGCTGAGTGTTCTGGCTTTTTAACAAAAATAAAATTCACTCATATGTTAACATTATTTATTGCTAAACTCTACATGTTGTATATACACAGAACGAGCGGCCGTGTTATATATATAAAATATATAAGTTTTAATATGTAAAATTGAAGATCACAGATAAATGTGCATTCCACATATGGAATTTTTCACCATCCTGATTTCTGCGCAGATTATGCTAAACATTGCAGGTCAATGAACGTCGCGTGTCGCACTTGAGAGACTTCATCAGTTAAAAGAATCTAACAGAATGTCAAAGATGCGTATTAAATGTTTGATGGAGTGATTATGTGGACTAATGAGTGATTAGACTTTCAAGAATCCTTCTAATGAGTGATGAATATGTTCTAAAATTAATTGTCACCGTCTAAATAAAGTCGATGATTGCGTTGATATTGTTCCGTTAAAATAGCGCAAAATGTTAAGAATGGTTTCATCATGGCCCAATTTATACTATAGAGACGGATGTCCGTCTGTCTGATGACGAAATTGGCCAAAGAAAAGCACTTTGTTCTGATGTATGGCATTAGCCAAACTATTATTTTAAAGGATATTCTTTGGAAGATTGTAGGTTTTTCAAGAGATTTTGGGATTTTATTAAAAGGGATTTTGCAAGAGATTTTGAGATTTTTAGCGAATTTGTGGAGTGCTTTTTACAGGAAGTTTTAGAGACTTTAACATTTTTGGCAGGATTTCGGGATTTTTCGAAAGATTTTTATTTTTGGGAAAGAATACGATGATTTTCGTGCTTGTCTTCCAGGACGGTCCATCGCAAGTGATTTACTACTTTGATTCGTTATTCTTCAACAGGTATTCTCACGTTCAGAAGTGTTTCAGCATCAAGCGGCAGTGACTCTAGTCGTGAACCAAATGTTGTCAGTGAGGCTGGTGGCCTGCAAACCACGTCTAATCCTGACAGTCAAGTCGATAATGAAGGTGAAATACACAATTTAACCACTTTTAATTCTACACGTAAAAAAATTGTTTAGTGTCTAACTAAAGTCGTTTACCTTTGTAAAAGAACTAGAGTAATATCCTTGGTTAATAGTCTAATATGGTATTTTTTCTAGAATTTAAATTGTGGGTAATAGTTTTGATTGTTGTGATTGGTGGCTTATTCATAGTAGCCTGTATTTTATGTTTGGTCAAGCTACATCGATGGTTAGTATATAGTACATATATTATGTAAAGTGAAAATTATATCAAAAGAGTAATTCCACTGACTTTGAACGCAGGTTTCCACCTGAACTAATACTGATGGATGAGCGGATGTTACCGAATCTGTAGGAAGAACAGCTTAGAAATGATAATTCAACTATTAATATACTGTATTGTTCTCCAGGAAAAATGACCGTGGTACTTATTCAATGTGGAACAAGCAAGGCCCGAGTGTCGAGGCGATGTTTGCAAGGTATTTATCCGACATTACGAGAGACTATCATTTAGTTAAATCTTTTGTGAGCTTATTTTGTTAAATATTTATCTTTATATAGAGAGTCCGGAGTCCTGTTTGAAAGACTAGATAGTAAGTATGCCATCCATATTAGAAATCTTCAATTATACTCTTCGTAAAAGTTTCCACCAAGGATAAGTAAAATGTTCTGTTGTTTTTATCTTACCATCCTACGCGTTATTGCACCATTTCGCGTTCTATCATCGCGCTGCCAAAACAAACGTTATTTCGGGTCCCGCAAACGTTTTACTACTATTTGTTAGGAGAAGAAACTTCAAAGGTGTATAGAATTGATAACTTTCTAATTACTTATATTTTTTGCAGTTGAAAGCAGCCTGACCGACGCTCAATGCTACGAAATTCCAGTGGACTCTTTCGAAACTCCTCAGAGAATCTACATTGATGGCATTAGGGTCACCCCTTTGGCCGAAAGCTTGGATACGCCTGTTAGCCAGCGATCTTTATCTAGTCGAGTTGAAGCAGAGATAAATATTATTGATCAAACACAATATTGTCTTGCAAGGGATAGAACCAGTGTTTCAACTGATGTCACTGGCCAGAGGGAAAGTATGCCGAGTTCAATAGGACCAGGTACGCATTGTAGAAGGGTTTTGTAAACGGAAATTTCGAATGTGAATTTGTGTAGATCCTCTGGCAGGAATCGAACCTGCGGCCCTGCGATTCCGGTGCAGCACTCTAACCAACTGGACTATTTCTCACTTTGATAATACTAACTACCAGTTCACCACCATAGTGCTTAGTGACCCCCCCCCCCCTCCCTACCACACACACCTTGTATTTGGAGGCGAATAAACAGAAATGAGAGATGTAAATTACTTTTCTTGCCCCACAAGAGTCGACATGCATTTCCATGAAGTTGACATCTGCTGCCCTGCAAGGCTTAAGGCCGATTTCCACTTCAATCGTACCGAATCGTCGTAGCGTATTTCTTTGTTGAATCGTGAACACTAGAGTGGAAGTAATGACTTCGACACAAAAGAAAATGCTACGTTACGTTACGTTACGTTACGTTACGTTACGATACGATACCAGCCTCGTCCCCAGGCTCCAACTCAGACGCGCGGGTTCCGACGCAAGCAGTGGCGCAGCAAATCAAAGCGCCTGAGGACGAGGCTGTTACGATACGGTTGAAGTGAAAATCGTCCTTTACTGAAGTCCACCAATACGTTATATTTTAGACACCAGTCCACGATCATCAGTCTCAATGAGCACAGTATCCGACAAGGGACCTGCCACCCCCTCACAAGAAACCCCCAAAGAACTCTATCCCAAACCTCTCCCTGTCATCCCTGTTGAAGACACGCCCTCGGTGGTGTGCGAGATATACACACTCGATGTAAACGAGAACGAAGGCCGCGTGAGTGCTATAGCAAACCGTCCACTCCCCCAAACTCCAGGCCTCTCCACTCTCCCCGGGAAATACTCCGCCGCAAGCTTGGATCGAAGCTTACTTAGACAAATAAAAGAATCTAAAGTTGAAAAACCCAACACATCCCGTACTTTACCGCGTCCGCGTAAGATCCGCCAAATTCCTTTACCGTTCCGGAACGCAATGTCGCGCTCTGCCAGTAGTTCTGACGTCAGCAAGGAGGCGGAGCGTCTCAGTGATCACGTGGCTTCGGACCCAAAGAAATGCACACTGACCAGAGTGAAGAAACGGCTGTCGCAATCGGTAGATACCTTATTAATCGAGTCGGAGCGTGTCAGTCATTTTTATGAGAACCCGTACTTGGTCGAGGGGACAAGCCTGGAGGGTAAAGGGGGTGATCCCTCTGGCAATCAGTTGGAACCTCCTTACAGCAGAGTGTCTTCCATACCTGCAACGAGTGATGAGAACTTGCCCAAGGATAAAGAACATTTGTACACCAGGATCAGTCAGTATATGGACGGACGTGAGAATAACCTTAACAGACACTCCTATGCCAGCGTTCATTCATCATTTCGCACGAGACCCAAGTCAAGACATGTCTACATCAGCATTATATTTGGCAGCGCCGATTCCGTGTGCATACCGAGCTTAGACGATCCTAAAACAAACCTTACAAAAGTTACAAGAACGTTAAGCAAATCTTGTCCTAGTTTGAATTCATCTACGCAACCTCACATAAAATACAACCCGCGACCTATTAGTTATTACCCTCCAGCGGACACTTCTGACGGGCTTTATTCAATAGATAACCGGAATGTTAGGAGTCAAGTCCCTAACGGAGTTACCAACGATTTAATGTCGTTCCCCGATTGTCAGTATCAAAATATCCGAGAGTCGTTTGATATTCCGCCCTTGGCACAACCTGTGTCCCAAAGTTCAACCGAGGCTGCCCCGAGTAATACCGGCTACCAAAATTTACAAGAATCAATGAACAATTCTCAGAATTCCGCAGTGGTTTACAACACTCCAAAGAGCTTGAACGTGCGACCATATTATGAAAATATAACTTGCATTCGAGACGATACTCACTTGGAAAACGAAGAGAATAATGGCATTGATACAAGCCATTACGGTGTCCCCAAAAGCCCGCCTATTCCTTTGAATCGATTTTGTGAAATCGTAAAAACAACTTCTAATGGCGAATCCACGAGCTCGCAAAGTGCCGACGCAAACGCTTCGTCGAAAGATGACGGAAGTTTAGAGATACGGTGGCGAAAACGTGACGCGGAAAAAGCTGACGAATGCGCGAAAAACGATGAACGCGCAACGTTGAGCGCGTATTTGGAAGGGCGATTTAATGGAGTAGACGCTATTGATGATAGGACGGTGGAAAATGAAACGGATCAAAACAATGAACCGACATATGAGAATTTTATTTCGGCCAATCGAGACAGCTGTATCTCGGAGGAATCTGCCAGCAGTCACGACCGCGTCTCGCTGACCTCTAGTCTCAGCATTGAGGATAAAGAAATTTACGAGAATCAGCCTCTAATTCCGAAAACGTCTGACGTCAACGGCAATTCAGTATGTGAAGGGTTTGCTGAGAAGTTTGAAGTTCGTAGAAAGAGTTTGATTGGAAGCACTTTGTTTGAAGAGTCAGTTGCTTAACGCTCTGCGGCTAAGCACGTTCTTCTATTATATGCATGAACACTTAGATAATTAAGGCGCTGTTCATATGGAGCTACATGGGCCGGGCCGGTTAACCTGGATGATTCGTTAATAAAGCTGTTATCACGACTTTGATAAACATTCAAAATGACATTTCAAAGTTCAATTAGCTTAGTTTGATTCCAGTAACAGTATCATTCAAACGATCTTCCATGGTCGGGGAAAATTTTCATGACACGTTCATCCCGATTCGTTGGGCTGGCCCGGATCAAATGAACAGCCCCTATGTAGTTATGTAGATAGTAGCCTAAGTTGATATTTCGTTGATCGAAATTTACATTTGTAATGGCAAGTTGACTTTAGGGTTAACAATGGACGGTTTTTCTTTCGGTATAATTGCCTTTGCCTACGTGCAGCATTTGGCGTAGGAGAACAATTATTGGTTTAATTTTAAGGTAACTTTTTAACCTGGTTTTCATTTGATTTGGTCATGAAAATTCTGTAATTAGAGATGACTGATTTATATGCAGCACACAACAGATAAGATAGATCCTAACTATTTCATTTTCACATGCAATGCATGTTATCATGCCTGAAATAGGCTGTCGGGATACTGAAAAATACACAGTGAGATATTTTCCATATCTTCACTGGTGAAGATATCGATCACGTGACTTTTAGTATTTATACAATTTTTAGTTTGAGACAAAATAATAAACAGAACATTATACGTTGGCTTGAAGATATGAATTTTATCTTCTCGTGTTAAAAACAATATTTTACTCACTCGCTGCGTTCGTTCGTAATATACTGTTTTCACCACTCGAAGATAAAAGTCATATTTTCGCGCCGCCGTGTAATATCTTCTATATATACAGCACACAAAAGACAAGATAGATTCAAACTATTTCACATAAAATGGTAATAGAGTGTTGATCTATATCTTTGCAGTCAGTAAAGACTGATTTACATGCAGCACACAAAGGATAAGATACATCCAGACCATTTCACAACCATGTCATATCGTTACTAAATGCAAACCAGGTTTTCCTGTGATTAGTATGATGCGTTTTGACTTTGCGGCGAGCATTTCACAACAGAGCAGATATATATTCGAGCTGGTATCGAATAAACTGTCACCCGAGTGAAACGTTGAACGTTTCAAATTTGGGTGTGTGGGGATTTGCTTTGCGCCAGCAGACAGCGCGACATTTTGTAGAGACCATTAGACTATTGTTAGTTAGTTGGTAGGACTGTAATGATAAATAATTTGTATTGATTATTGTAATCCACAACAGAAAGACACGCGTACATTGTTTTGTGTTGCTTTTACCTTGCGAGCAGAGGTTTTCGATCGTTATATGGTTTTGGAGAAGTACTAAGTTTACGCCTGTATATTCTAAAAGCTCATTCACACTAGTCGAAGAGTGGAGGTTCAATCTAAGCTTTCCTTGAATGTCAATGCTGTTTTTGAATAGCTGGAGGATGCATGAGTAGTCACGTATAGTATAAACGAACGACACTAACCTTCCAGCTATTCAAAAACAGCACTGACACTCAAGGGGGCTCAGATTGAAGCTCCACTCTTTGAGTGTGAGTGAGCTTTTAGAATACAGACGCAAGTTTTTGCCAAAATGATTGGTAGATAAACAAGATGGCGACTTTTTAACATAAACATGACGTAATTAGGCACTTTCAGTTTCACTCTCTGACGAGATATATTTCCATTTCTTAGACTGAGGAGAATACGAAAGCAAAATCTAAGACAAGCAGATTGCTACTGCTTCAGTCAGTTCATGTCATTGGTCGGCTCAAGTGACACTGAACAGGTACGTTTAATAGTTTAACTGTTAACTCAATGGTCGATACGCCTAAACAGTAAATAAGATAATCGTATGATAATAGTAAATAGTGGTAATAATCGTATACACGCAAAAAGTGACGTTTCTGGCTTTGCCGAAGGATGCGACATTTCAAAAGCTTTAATACACATTGTGAAGAAATCAGTGTACAACTGAACTGTCTGTGCCAGTGTAGGTACTAGGTAATGCCAATCAAATCAACAAGCTTTCGTTGATAGGGATGCAACTACCTGAAAAATATAAGGAGAATTTCGACGTTTCGAGCGAAGCCCCTTCGTACTTTACAACTCAGACGTAGGGACCAACGAAAACTTGTTAATTAATGTACGAGTACCGTCAATGTCGTATTTCTCAACAATTAACAGCAGTCAATATCTATACCCTAACATTGTATTTTGATACACTTTTTAATGTGTAATTAATGTGTAAATATATTATTTATAAAGCTGTAAAGATGTTTTATGTTTTTGGAAGCAAATTCCGTTACACTAGGAACAATTAGATCTTCGCAAAGTCCTTTTCAAATGACGTCACTTGAACAGTAGGAGATTTCAGTAATTATCAGATATCATAAGCAACAAGCGGCTTTCACGCTGCGAACTCGTGAGATCGCGCATGATACGCCAACGTTTTACCAAAATCATGGGTTTCCCCCGTTTTTTTCCAACGAGAATGTTGTTGTCAAAACATCTCTTCCATCATAGCTGTACCCTGTGATCGGAGTTAGAGAGGTGCCTTTAGTAAGCCTCTGACTGGTTCAGGATGGGCTGCGTCCTTCGTAATTCAAACTTACAGCTCTCACGTGCACGTAAGGATGAATAACACTCCAGCCGATAGCCAAAGTATACACGCAGGCCTAAAGCCGGTTTTCCACTAGGCGGAATTTAGACAATTCCCATTATAGACTAATTTTAAAACTAGGCAAGGAGATGCAAATAGATCACCACAGCTAGAAAGAGCATACTAAAATTAGTAAAATTACAAAATTTGGTTGCGAAATGTTGTAAAATGTGGAAAATATGGCCTTGCAAAGTTTGCAAATTTTGTATACTTTTGTATCGCGTGCGACGTTTTCGGCCTAAATGTGTTAGGAATGTGGTAGGAATTTCCGCAAGCAATACAAAAGTATACAAAATTTGCGAACTTTGCAAGGCTATATTTTCCTCATTTTACAACATTTCGCAACCAAACTTTGTAATTTTACTAATTTTAGTATGCTCTTTCTAGCTGTGGTGATTTATTTGAGTTTCCTTGCCTAATTCTAAAATTAGTCTATAATGGGAATTGTCTATTAGAAAAGACAAAGAGAAATTCCGCTCCGCGCGGAAAATTCCGACTAGTGGAAAACCGCCCTAAAGGTGGTCTGTTAAATCCCGTTATTTGTTATTCCGTTTTAGATTTTGCAATGGGAGGGTTTATGAGTGACTAGACGCGAATACGTTTATGAAACGCCAGGAACAAGTGCAACTCGTCCAGCACTGCCTACACGCCCGACTATCCAACCCAGATTCTTCTAATCCTCCTACAGCTATCAATGGCCCAAGCTTCCCGTGCATCATTTCCTTCGATATCATATAGAATTGGCCAATTTAGTGTCTTTATTCAATTCCCCATCAACCCTTGGAAAATTCTCGGTCTAAACTCAGCTTCGTCTTCGCGCGATGTTAAACTAGCCTTCAAAAAAATGATCGCAAGCGCATCAGTTCAAAATCAAGCATTAGTTTCCCTTGCCAATCATATTTTAACCTCGACAGCACCAAGATACCAGCGACAGCAAGGCACGGACCTATATACCATCAAAAACCCTGACCATTTCACTGTGGCAGCGTACGGTGACACACATACGCTTCGCAAAATAATCGAAAGAAACGCATCCTTGATTCAATCCACAGACGAACACGGTCGCACATTGCTATACCTAGCTTGTAAATCAGGCTTTACTGATATAGTGAAAATGCTGCTAAAAAATGACGCAGATAACAATAAGATCCAAAGAGATGGTAGCACACCCCTTCACGCTGCAGCATATTTTAGTCACCCTGGAGTTGTTGAGCTGTTGCTTGAATATGGCGCGCGAACTGACATCAAAAACGCATGGGATCAAACTGCTTTGGAAGAAAGTGCGACAATAGAAATAAGGAACATGATTGAAAATCCACCCCCGGACCTTATCAACAGCCTGGCAGGTATAATGAAGGAAAGAAAACTTGTCTCTGAATTTAAAGGATACAGAACCAAACCAAGCGAGCAAATGTACGCGATAGAGTTCATCCGACATCCAAATGTTTACGACGCAGAAACACGCGCAAAATTACCAGAATTTATGCAATCTTGGAAGCTGACCTGGCACGGCACTCGGTATAAAAATCTGGAATCAATCATGGAACACGGTCTTCTTCCAGCTGGAAAGAAAGGTATCAAACCACCGTCTGGTCATTTCGCTTTAGGTAAAGAGTATCAGGGAATTCCGAATTGGGCTGCGGCAATATTTGTCTCCCCCAGTATCTGGTACGCTGCTGACAATGCTTATGCAGAGAAAGTGAAATCACAAGGTGACGAATGGTGTGTACTGATTAAAGCTTACTGCAAACCTGGCAGTTACGGGCGGTACGATCCGACCGTATTCAGGTATTTAAAATTTTTAATTATATCGGAATTGTATTATTCAGCTATCATGAGTTCTACTACATCTAACGAAACGCACAAATGTTATCATCTTCGTCTGCCACCAAAGAGTGTCCCCTGCTGCTACTCAAGGCGAGAACGATTTTTTAACCCTCCAATTTGTCGAACAAATCGGTTTAAGAACACCGGCTTTTATTCCATCAACTGTCAAGCCTTGTTTAGAAACTCCTAATTTTACAAACCATAAAGTATTGAATCAGATCATGTAGTTAATGAATTTATTATCAGTTTAAATTTTAGGACAAATTGTAAATTAGTAAAGTTGTTTTAAATATATTATTCAACTCCTATGTACTGATTTAAACACGAGCAGGGATGCTTTATCAGATATCTAAAACACGAGAGCGCAGTTTTATATCTGATAAATCACGGACTGCGAATGTTTTAAATGGCTTACAAAACGACCCATCTGATGAGTTCATTGGCGAAGTAATTTAAAAAATAAACTTGTCTAAGCCGAAAAAACCAAAGCTAAAGTTTATGTCAATTAACAGGATATTTTATCACATATAAAACCACCAACACGGCAGTGATTTCATTTGTCTTTTTAACTTTAACTTTGCAACACGACGCAATTCAGCTCTTGCGGGCTGCAATGTTTGTGATTATTACGTTTTTTTATTTACGATTAGCCATTAGGTATTTTAAAGATCAGGGTTTATATATAACTAACAATAGCAAAGGGCCCAAAATAGAACCTTGTGGAACTCCATAGTTATCTTTTCAGAAAACACTATCTATTATTGCACAGTGCTGGCTCTCCATTATTCAGATATATTTTAGCTTGTTAAAGTTTCAAATTTTAATTTTTAAGTTACGCAAAGATGGAAAATGAACCAGAATACTCTGAATACCGAGTGCCAACAGTTGGCGACAGGAAAGATGAGGAAACAGTGATTTTACGTGTGGAATCTGAACGTAATGTTGTCGTCTGTTCAGTGCTGTTTATTCGCACGAGAAAGTTACAAGATCCAAGTATAAGTTTCGATGAAATGACGAACTTTTTTAAAGAGTGAGTATTATGCCAGTTATCCTTTGGGCGCTTGGCGTCCTAGAAAATGGCCGACTCTTGAGATATTTATAAGAAATCTATACAAAATTTAATTTGTATTGGCCCATATTTTCGCGAAGAACCATCGTGAAAAACAACTCTATTTCTTCTGTTAAACGAAGTAAGTCATTATATCTTGTGAAATGTTGCGATTTTTTATGCAATATGTTCGTAATGAAGGTATATTCATCAGATACAGCCGAATGAGACACAAGCGTGCTAAGAGTCACTGGCATTATAATGTACTCACTTTTTACAGCGCCTATATCACTTGCTTTTACTTTACCAACCTCGTACCCAGGGCTTCTTTGGGCTTCTGCGCTTATTGCTCTCAGCGCAGAAGCCCTGGGTACGAGGTTGGATCTTTACGCATTTGAGCAAAAAATGTTAATGAGGAATCGACTGGGAAATTATATTCAGATATTTTCCCGCTATTACTCACTACCTGCGAATATTTCGATAAAAATCTGTGACACTGGTATAACTCATAAATTGTTATTTTTCGTTCTAAGTACAATACATAATATTTGCACATATTGATAATTATAATTAAGATTAATTAACAAACTGACAAAGACACTGTGCATGGAATGAAAATGTACGTTGGAATGGTCAATGCCAAATATATATATATGCAGTGGCAGACCAAACTTAGATGTTAGTGCTATATATATTTACAATTGATTTCTCATTAAATTTAGCGATATAGTAGCAATTATAGTGTATATTAATTCGCGTGTCTATGCATATATATTTCCAGTTTCACTGCGTGCCTCCCGAAGAAATCGCGTCTCAGTACAGGCGTGAATTCATAATCACGGCGCTCAAATTTCCCAATTGGTGAGTTTCAGTAAGCGTTGCACGACAGCTGATGGTGATCAACAGTTGAACTGAAGGGCGGCCAAAAACATAAATGAGCATGCACACATTTCTCTACTGCAAGAATGAAGAGAATTGGCCTTTCTCACGCC